TTGGAATTGGGCTTAATTATTTACATGGATTTAAAGCACTCTGAAGCTCTGTTTGATAAAACTGAATCTAAATTCTGAATTCTGAATACTGAAATAATTAATTTGCTGAATATTAAGCACTGCAAAAAGATATATGAATATCTGAATCTTAATGCTGAACATATTTATACTGTTTGATAAACATTTATAACTTAATGTTTAATAAACTAAATTGTACAATTTTGCCCTTCTATCTTTTAATCCAAAAAAGGAAATAGAACCTATGATTTAATTAGCTTAAAATTGTTAGGTATGAAAATGACAATATTTATTTTTAAATCAAAGTACTATAAAAGAAGAAATATATTATGAAAAAGTCCAAATATCGGTGCAAATATATTTTTAAATCAAAGTTTGATAAGAAAAGTCCAAATATAAGCAAAAGGAAGCTGCAATAAACAAGTTTTAAATTCACACCAAATTATATAGAAATTTAATTACTTCAATGGAAAAATGTTGACGCAAAACAACAAATAATCAATTGGAAATAATGAATTTGACATTGGTGAGCACGGTAGCAATAAAAAAAATTGGGAGGAAAAAAATGACAAAATTATGAAAAAGTAGAAAGGTGGAAAAAGATAAGGAGTAGACAGGTGTAAGGAGTATGGAGAAATTGTAAAAAAATCATTAAATAGGGAGAAAATAGAAGTAGAAAGCCATTAGACAGAAAATGTCAGGTTGTTTAATTAGATAAGGATTTTGAATGTAATTAACAAACAATGATAGATTTGGTAGATAAGATAAAGTAGTTGAAGTAAATCTCTTGATTCTTATCAAATTAAGCATTCAGTTATGATTCTTGTGCTGCAAAAAATACCTACAAATTCAGCACCACTTAATAAGTTCAGCAGAAAAATTTTTATTTATCAAACACCCAAAATATCTGAATGTCTGAATGAATTCAGTTTCAGCACTTTTTTATGTTATCAAACAGACACTGAATATAGTTTACAACGCAACAAACGATTAGAACTCTGCATCCAACTCCAGCACAAGGTCATGGGGACCGAAAATAGAGGCCAGGGTGACAGCTTTTCGTTGTGGGATTTGGCTAATTTTTTCCAACTCTTCCTCAGACAATGACCAATCAAAGATTTGGAGGTTCTGCTTCATTCTTTCCTTGTTGTAACTCTTTGTTACCAAACTCACCCCTTGTTCATACACCCACCTTAGTGCAACCTGCATTGCATTTTTCCAACATATATTACAATTGGGATCACCAATATATAAAACGAGGACTCGAAAGATCAAATCTAAATCATGCTATGTTCTAGAGGCGCAAATAATTAAGGTCAAAAGCTTGGGGAAACAAAAAACAGAGAGGAGTTGCCTAAGCATATGCAAAGACAATTGAACAGACTCAAAAAAAAATGCAATTGAACATATTGAAAGTTTGACTACTTCAATAGCAGAGACTAACTAGGTCAAGCAAGCAGCCAAAAACTCAATGCCCTTTTGTCCTCCTAACAACTTTTGTGCTGGTTCTTTTCCAATTTTGAAGAATTTTGACCCTGTAAAACCAATATGATCTACCTACCTAACTTACATCTCTTTTTTTTCCCTCAAAACAGGATCAACCTAGCATCAAGAACAAATAAGAAAAGAAGGTAACAGGAAACCACGTAATTCAAAACAAAGTACATAAGACAGTCACATGCTTAATTTGGACGCCTGTTTAAATGCTTTTAGTTGTTTATTTGGAAAATGAGGCTTAATCTACTGTTAAAATTTCTGGGAATTGGCTCTTTTTCGTTTCTGGTTTTTCTTTTATAAACCTGTTGGGAGTTGGGACACAGGTGCTGAACATCGGCAAAAGTCATAGTTCATTTATTGTTGATAATGGCAAGGAAATCAATGAAAATGTTAAAGAAAAGAAAAGAAAGTAAAAGACCTGAGCAACAGTTTTCCCTCTAGACTTGGCTATCTCAGCTAGCACATCAGAGTCCATAACTCTGTTATCTCCCCATTTGGTGTTGTTGGCCCCCAAAGGAGAATAAGCAGTGATTTCGATACCCTTTGCCTTGTAGAACTCCCTTAGCCCCTTTTGCTGCCAAGTTGGATTCAGTTCCACCTTTGATCACGCAAGACACAGACCATCAGATCAACCCCACTATATACAAGAACAAAGGAATTAAAAAATAGAATTCAATTTCAAGATTTTTCATAAATCACACTCACTTGATTAACTGCAGGAGGAATTGTAGCAACTGCGAGTACTTCCTCAAGTTTCTTGCAAGAGAAGTTACTCACACCTATGCCCTTTGTTAGGCCAAGTTTTACGCATTCCTCCATGCCTTCCCATACCCCCTTCACATCCAGAGGCTCTATTGCATCTTTTTCTACCGGCGTTGAACGGATCGTTCTAGTCAATCTCACAGGCATATGTATCAGATACAGGTCAATATAATCCAATTGAAGATTCCTGGAGAACACAGACCAAAAAGAAAAAAAAAATCAAAAGGGGCAATAATTAGTCCAATCATCTTAACAGGACAACAAAAAACCATTGCCAGCAGGGTTCGGCTGAGCTATTAAGGCTCGGATTTCGACTCAGAATCAAGATTCGTATCTTGAAATGGGGTAACCTCTCTTTTTCATAAACTTCTTTTTATCATCCAAAAGATGATAAAATGATGAAAGCAGCATATTAAAAAAGAAAAATACAGTTTGATGTTACTTACTGAAGGCTCATTTTACAGGCAGGAACAATCTGGTCACGTTCAGCAGAGCTGCTCCATAGTTTAGTGGTGATAAAAAGTTCATCCCTGGACATGATCAGGCCAAGTGTCAAAGCTTCAGCTATTGCCTCACCAAGGGGCTTCTCAGAACCATAAGTAAACGCCGTGTCAAAGTGGCGGTAGCCAGCTTTAATGGCTTCGATGATCGCTGTTTTTGTAGTTTCCAGGTCCGCCGGAGGGAACGAGGAAGTTCCCATGCCAATAACTGGCATGGTTTTCTCACAACTGCTCAATGTTACCTCTGGTACTTTGGCCATATTCTTCTGCCTGTAACTCTCTCCAATTCCAATTTGTTGGTATTTGAGAGTGTTTTGAGTACTCTTATATATATGAGTGTGTTGGGGGGGTCTTTTAACTTGAATTCTTTTCAGTGTTTTTTGTAGATTTGATTTGATTTTTGATGTTATATTTTGGTAGGATTCAGTCGCGTGAGAGACACTATGAGTGCCTGTTCCACTCTGCTGCTGGAGTTGAATATGGAGTGGTCAACTTTTAGCAAGAATTTTCACAAACTACAAACTAAGCTAATCCCATAAGTACAGCTAAAAAGCAATTGCTGACTTGTTACCGCATTACTTAGTACTCAATTTTCTACGTGGAAGTCAATTTGGACCGTCTAGACGGCAATACAATATTGACCATCACAATACTTATGGAGCGGTCAACTTGTTACAGCATTACTTAGTACTCAATTTTCTACGTGGAAGTCAATTTGGACCGTCTAGACGGCAGTACAATATTGACCATCACAATTGGCATGGTTATTTGATAAAAGGATTCAAGGATGCCCCAAAGAAGAAACAAAAAAAATTATCTCAGTCCACTGATCAAATTGAAGATGTTATATTACCTAGTGGAATTATAGTTTCAGAATTTGTAAAGGGAATTTTCTAAATAGGGAATTTTGTAATTTTTCCTCAAACTTTATTTTATGTAGACTCAATACTTATGGGTTATATATAACATAAAAAGTTAATCCATAAATATATATATATATAGGAAATTCAAAATGCCCCTATATTTTCTTGTTAAGTCATGAAGATGTTAGGCCATGTTCCAATTGTATTATTCATTTAGGAGATGGTCTTGTTTAGTTCCCTAAGTGGACTCATTGGTTGTAATTTTTTTTTTTTTTTTTTGAGAGAGAGAAAGACTCAAGGTACTTGGCCGTAGTAATTTTTGTGGGATGACAATCCCACAATTTTAAGCATAAAAGGATTTTGAAAATAAACTTGTCACTATGCATATAAGTAAAGTTGTATGTGGTTATAATTAATTTAATTTCAGTTTCTTGACTTTTTTGTTAAATACTCAAGTTTCCGGCACATTAAAACTCTAATGATTCCTCCAACTTTAGAATTCAAGCTTGCCAAACTCTAGTGATTGAGATGATTTTTCCTTCTAACATGCTTTTCAAATCAGACACTTTGACAATGTCCCACTAACTCTGACATTTCTATTCATCCCATTCTTTGTAGCTGGCAAACTAAGAGAGCTGCGGATTGAAAACGTAAGAGAACTGATTTATAGTGCACCCACATCTAACTCATCAAAGATTGCTACATATCCTGCCTTGATCGAATCAAGGACTTAAAATTATTGTACAGATGTAACTGATAAACAAATGGATGATGAAAGAAGTTGATTGAAAGGTTCTCGGAGTTGAACATGTCATTGAATTTGAGAAAAAAAAAAAAACTAGGCTGATGATTGCTTAAACAAAGTAGATTTACGCTAACGATTGAATAAAATTCAACAAAACTCTTAATTCTAATTGAGACCGAATTCTAATTCCTAGAAAAGCTAGAGAGATTGTGAAACCCACGACTGTTGGCCCAATTTTATTACTTTATCTTTATTATTTTATTTTCTCGACTAATTAAAAAGGATAAAGTTGCTATGAAAAAAAAAAGAGAAAAGAAAAAGGGAAAATAAAATAAAGTAACTGTAGGATGGGTTAATGGGCTCTAATACAGTAAAACTTTTACCCAAGCCACCTACTAATAAGTAGTGCTAGGTTTAGGGTTTCATTAAACCCTAGACAGTAAAATAACCCAAGCCTTACTTTCTTTCGTCTGCCCTAGAGCAAGAGCCCTCAGAGAGGAGAGAAGGAGAAGCAGGCAACAACGTCAATCGATCCGTCAACTAGGCACCTAAACCTGTAAGTCCCAAATTCACGTGAAACCTCTCCTTTAAATTCTAGTAATCGAATTAATTATCCTAAATATTGGTGCGTTCAAGGCCTAGAGCCAGTTCCTGAAACTGTGTTTGGTCAAAAACTGTGATGCTCCCAAATGCAACATAAATGACTGATTGGACTGGTTGTTTATCCAGCCACACCAAGCAATCCAAGTCTTTAGGCCAGTAGGAACCAACTGATTTTCCAAGCCAGTTGCTAGATAGAAGAGGGCCTATAGGTAACATTTCTGGGTACGAGTTGAAGACCGATGTCTCTAACTCATTACTTGAGTTGCAGATAATCCAATCAGCCAATTTTAGTGTTGTGATATTTTTTAATATAACATCAAAAATAATTCCCTGTGTGGTCGGATCACCAATACAGGCCCAAACAAAGTGTGCAGAGTCCATAGCTAATATGGTAGGTGATAACTGAACCATCTGGTTCTTCAAGACACTTCCTGCGACAAAATTTGCTACACCCAATGTCAAATTTGGCAATCACTGTTTTGGCAATATTTTCTTTTTTGGGCTGCTAAAATTTTCTTGCATTGGTAAAATCTAATTCACTTGGATATGCTTTCAACTTTCAACCTATTTTGCAGCAACCAAATTTCACCATTCTGTTTCCTATGAGTTTGTTACTTTGCTTGCATTATAATTTCTAGCTTCATAGCTTCCAATTCTGGTCAGCTTAATATTGTTTACTGTTCCATGATTATGAGGACTTTAAGAGCTTATGCAGAAGTGTTGAAACTGTAAAAGCATTATGCTGAAAGGAGTCTTACCAGAGCTGTCTATGATTCCATCGTGAATGAGCTTTGGAATATTGAGTTCCAGAGCCGATACAGCTGCTGCTGCAGGCCAGAAGGCTACAGCCCTGACTCCCATTTTCTTCGCGATTTCCAGTGCCCAACCCATGCTCTCATCAGTAATAAGGCATGTGATTTTGTCAGTTTCAGATTCATTTATCTTCTCCATTAGAGCCTCCAACTTTGCAGGCAGAACACGAAAAATTGTCTTTGTTAACTTCCCCAGGTCATTTCTATCGTCCCAGGATTCCAGGCCATCCGGGATAGATACCAGATGCATCATATCTGGTACATTCCCTTCACCTGATAATGATTCAATGACTGGTTTGTGATCAAATTCCGTGTTCACAAATGTAACCTTGATACCACTCTTGACTAGGCACAAGGCAAGTTCCATTAGGAGAAAGTACATGACCTTGTGCTGTATAAGGTATGGCTAGTACATGTGGAATGCCCATATTGTTTCTTCAACACTACACTGCCACAAATCTCCATATAGGTGTCCCTATTTATATGTTAAATTCATCTTTTTCTAATTAGGTAAAGCACCCATGGCACATCAAATGTCTAATGACCAATATGTGGTCAAGTTTTCCTGAGCCTGAAGGAGGCAATCTACTCCTCTCATTTATACGGTGTCCTTTGTCTTGAGTGCACCCTTCTTTGTCCTGATTTTGGTATCTGTCAAGGGTTTTCACAATCTTGGAATTGTTGCTAATCAATAATTTTAGATTGAAATAAAAACTGAAGATGGATTGCAAGGGACACATTGAGATCGAAGACTGTTTTATTATTTTAATTTTCTTCATAATTGAAAGGTAGGTTTCAGTTTTGTAACTTCGTTACCATGATTGATATTTTGAGTTAAATATTGTGCCTCAAGAGAATCTGAGACCAAATTCTGCTGAAACTCTTAAAAAAAACTCATGATATTTTTAAAAAGTGAATAAATTTTCTTTCTTTGAAATGTTTGGATGCATATACTTTTAATTTGAAGGGGCAAGCTTTATACCAATTTGAATGTTGTAATTAATGGAAAATCTTTAAAAAATTTGCGTGGTCGAAACTTTTGATAGGAATGAAGACTCATATTGTACGGGAAGTTGCCATTTTTGTAAGACTTGATTGCCCCTCACTGCCTTCTAAAAATTTTGTGAGATCAAAAGTATTTTATATCTAAAGAGTGAATTCGAATAAAGAAATCTTAAAAACAAATCTTATAAGATCAAAACTTTTTATATTTAAAGAATCAATTCTCATATTTTACGGGGAATAAACAATTTTCTAGAACTTGTCTGCTCTTTCACTGTTCTCTAGATCCGTCTATGGTCCTTAATATATTATGTGATTTTATATGATTTTCGTAAAAATATTCTTTTCATCTCTCATTTTTAAAATGAAACAAATTCATCTTTAACATTTAAAATTGAATAGATAACATCTCTCAATCCAAATTTCAATATGAATCAAACCATCTAATAATCTGGTAATAAATTTCGGGGATAGAATTGATAGATTATTCGGTCAACTTCATCTTTTTTTTTTATTTAAATAATTACTTTATTCATTCCAGATCACGAAGACAACGAACACCAGGAAGAACCCCAGTTACTACAGCCTATGCACACCCTATCCTAACACGCCTAACCGATGGCACCCCAAGTCTATTCATCCTGCACTCTCCCCGGGCCACCGAGGGAAGAGTGCGCTCAGTACAGTAAGCCCTGACCAGCTCTTGCGGATGAGATACCCCCACATTCGCTAGTATATCAGCAACCTTATTTGCCTCTCTGTAGCAATGCTCAAACCGAGTCCCCTCTACCAGGTGCTAGATTTGCTCCACCTCCCTTCTAACGGACCAAGGACAAAGGCATCGCCGCTGGAGTATGTCAACTAACAACATTGAATCCGATTGCACTACTGTGGGGAGAAGCCCCTTTTCAAGACACACCTGAACACCCTTCAACATGGCCAAAACCTCAGCACGAAGACTAGAAGCTGCCCCCAAGTATGCCGAAAAAGCAACCAGTAGTTGCCCATCAGAGCCTCTAAGTATGCCGCCTCCACCACTCGCTCCCGGGTTTCCCTTAGAACAGCCATCCGTATTGAGCACCATATCCACTGGACCCCCTGCCCTCCACCGTACAACTGTGACCTCATACCGATCAGTCGATTGAGCTACCCTCTCATAGAACAGCGGGAAATCGCTCACCTGGACGGTCATGCTGAACTGAATCTCAAATGCTGATTGAACATCATGGAAGACCGCCCCACAGACCTCCTTCGCACGAACTCTAGTCCCCTCAAAAATCGCTCTACACCTCGCCTTCCAAATGTTCCAGCAGATAAAAACTGGGACAATGTCATATACAAATCTCTGCTTTCCCTTTGGAGAAGGTGACATCCACCAATCAAACAAATGCGCTCGGAGGCTATCGAATGACCAGCCAATACCACATACGTTCTTAAAATACGCCCAGATCTCCACCGCAAGCTGTCCTGTAGAAAACACATGCTCCAGTGTCTCTCCTGAGGCAGGCACACAACAGAAGCACTTTGACGCCAACTGAAATCCCATCTCCCCTAAGACGTCATCCAAAGGCAGTCGCCTCATGAGCAAGCGTAGCATGAACAAGGACACTCTCACAGGTATTCTAGCATGCCATATGCGAGAAAACACCAATGACCTGTTGCGACCTTGGCGGACCTCCTGAAAAGCTGATGCCAAAGTGAAGAGCCCTGACTGCGTCAATCGCCAGACCACTTGATCTGTCCCCCTTCCACTCAAAGCCGGCGATTGCATCACCTCATCCACAATGTGAAGCGGCAGAATCTGTGACAGCCGACAATTATCCCAGGTACCATTGACCATAACATCGGAAAACGATAAGCCCGGAACCACCGATGCTCTGAGAAAAAGAGGCCCACTCCCCAACCAATTATCAAACCAAAAATCACATGTCCCATCGTTAAGCAGCCATACTATGCACAATTCCGTCTGGCGACTCACATTGACCATACGTCTCCAAGTTGGTGAAGCAGTCTGAGATCTACCCACCTGAGAAGGATGAGCCCCTTTACAGTACTTTGCCCGCATGAATGTTGCCCAGAGAGATGACCCAGTGAGCAAACCCCACCAAAGCTTACAAGAAAAAGCATTATACACATCGCGAACCCGCCGGAAACCAGCGCCACCTTCCTCCACCGGACAACAGAGTTGAGACCACTGAATCCAGTGATGCTTAATCTGCTCACTGGAGGTCCCCCATAAAAAATTTACACAGACTCGCTCAATACTCTTGAATGTAGCCACTGGCATAACTGCAGCAGATAGAAGATGCGTCGGAATCGACGATAAGACATGCTTGATTAGCACTAACCTGCCTCCAGGCGACAAAAATTTAGACCGCCAAGAGAGAACCCTTGCTGAAATAGCATGACACACCTCCCCAAAATACACGGATTTGCACTTGCCAATGTACAACGGGAAACCCAGGTACCGGACCGGAAAGTGCTGCCTTGAGAAGCCCGTAATTCGCTCAACCACCCTCCGCCTAGCGAGCGACATTGACGGGTGCACTAAGTATCCACTCTTCTGAACACTCACCAACTGACCAGAGGCCAATTGATACATCTCCAAAACCCGCATAATATCCTTCAAAGATCTAGAAGAGCCATTAGCAAATATTATTACATCATCCGCAAAGGCTAGATGGGTGACTGGCGGACAACCCCTGGGTACCGTGAAACCCAAGAATCCCGCCTGTGCAGCAAGACTATTAAGCCCCCGGGATAACACCTCCGCTCCAATTACGAATAATGCTGGCGACAGCGGATCTCCCTGCCGGACCCCACGACTCGACTTGAAAAAACCATATGATGCCCCATTAATGATGACCGAGAACCAAACATTCGACATTAACCTCCAAACCATGTCAATGAATCGCTCACCAAATCCAAATTTGCGCAATACACTGACAATGAATATCCACGAGACACGATCATATGCCTTTGCCATGTCAAGTTTTAATGCGACATTTCCCCCCCTCGCCTTATTCCTAATCCCTGATATCAACTCCTGAGCAAGGAGATAATTCTCTGTTATACTCCTGCCTTTGACAAACCCTGTCTGCTGTGGAGACACAATCTTGGGCAGTATACATGCCAACCTATCCGCCAGAATTCTAGACACCACCTTGTTGAAAAAATTGCACAAACTAATCGGCATATACTTAGAAAAGTCCTGGGGGCTTGGCACCTTGGGAATCAAAACGATGGATGTGGATGTTACAAAACGAGGCAACTCCGCCCCACAAAAGAAACTCAATACCGCATTATAGACATCCTGCGCAATAACATCCCATGCAAAAGTAAAAAACTGACCGGTGAAGCCATCAGGTCCTGCAGCACTATCCCCATCCATCTCAAATACCACCCGTTTCACCTCCTCCCTAGTTGGGTCAGCTTCAAGGGCTGCCCTATCTGCCTGTGTCACCATATTAGGGATCAAGTGCTCCCAATCACCAGCTGGCCTGCCAGAACTCGAGAACAAATCCGAGAAGAACCGCACAGCCTCATTGGCGATCCCCTCTTCATCTTCAACCCATACGCCATTCTCATCCTTCACTCTATGGATAGCACTCTGCACCCTCCGTTGCTGAACCGTTGCATGAAAATATCGTGAGTTTCGATCACCGTATCGAAGCCACTTTACTCTAGCCTTCTGACTCCAAAACTTTTCTTCATTTAGCAACGCGTGTCGTAGCTCAGCTTGAGCTTTACTCAGCTCAACCTGTGCCTCCATCGAATCATCCAGCTCCATACGGTTTTCTGCTGCCAGCACATTCGCTTCCGACCTCCTAACAGCCTCAAACACATTTCCAAAAACTCCCTTGTTCCAGTCCTGGATGGCCCGCCTGGTACGCATTAGCTTGGAGCACAATACCTTTAACGGGGATCCAGAGCTCTCTACTTGCCAAGCCTGGCGAATTACCGCCAATAGCCCTGGATTCGATGTCCAAACGTTTAAAAACCGAAATGCCCTAGGCTTGTTATTCATTCGCGACGCCAACGAGATCTGCAGTGGCGCATGATCTGATGGATGTCGGGCCAAGTGGACCACCGAGATTGACGGGGTACTCTCAGCAAATTCGCCATTGATTAACACCCTGTCCAGTCTCTTCCAGCACATTCACATAACATTTATTGAACCAAAAAAGGAAAAAATTAAAATATTATAACATAAATGGCCGTTCTTTATTTTGGAAGAGTAGGGTTTCTTTTTTTTAAAAAAAATCTTTTTATATGCTATTAGAGTATACACTTACGAGTTTAGATGTTATCACACATACAAAGTTTGGTATTTAAATTTAAATTGAAATGATGTGGCAAGTATTTAGACCCATCAGTGTATACATGACAATGTAGGAAAAATTAATCCTTCTTTTTATGTAATAATTTTTTATTTTTCCTTTTTGGGTTCATTAAATTTCATGTAAATATCAAGTTAAGTTAACCAAATAATCTATCAATTATACCTTTGAAATTTGTAATTGGATTGTTGGTGGTTGGATTCATATTAAAAGTTGACTTGAGGAATGTGATAGTTTCAGTTTTTAAATGTGAAAGATGAATTTGTTTTATTTTAACAGTGAAAAACAAAAAGAATATTTTTGTAAAAGGTAAGGGATGAAAATGATCATTTTCCTATTTAGTTTTGTCCTATTACTTTGTAATTGTGCCCCCACTGACATTTTAGGTGTCGGGTACTAGAAACTTTATATACTTAACCAGTTAACTTGTACAATGTCCACATGGATGTATCCATAAGAGATTTGATAGCAATTCTTTATTAAGAAAGCAAAATAACAGATATAATTTATTAGTTAATGATTCCTACCGGTGCAAGCCCAATACATTAAGGAGTACAATTCGCTAGTGAGTTTTTCTATACACAAAAATTCTTTGTACTCAAACGAATTCCTTATACAATATTTGAATGAGTTGTGGACCTGTGGTCAAAGGAGTTCGAATTTTAACCGCATAGATAGAGGCATTCTGGAAATGTGGAATATTTTGTAGTTTTTTTAAAACTTTAGGTACAATTAAGAGTAGCATCTGTTTAGGTATATTTATCGAAATGCCCTCATTTTGATACATTTAAAGTTTTGATTTATGAAGACATCTAGTTATTTCTGGAATGTAAAATTATTTTGCAATCGTTTTTGCATGGAGTACAACTCATATAAGATTATGTATTAGTATAATTATTGAAATGGTGTTATAGACATATTTAATTAAAGTATGGCTTTTGTTGTGCAATTAGCACATAGATATATTAATACGTTGTGTAATTAACACGTTGTTATAATTAGCCATTGGAGGATATTCCTTTGTTTGAAATAACTTATATCTGCTCTTGGACGATTTTCAACTGACATTTGTAGGGATCTTTTGGGAATGGTAAAATTGTAAAAGTATTGATAAAATAAAGTGTACAAGCATATGCTACAATTAGAATGTACTATTATTAGTTTTGTCATATTTGATGATTATTGTTTTCCAAAATGTACTATTATTTGTCCAATGAAAATTTTTCTCTAACAGCAGGCACTAAACACCTGCACGATACACGGGCACTCCGCCTAATATAGGATATTAATAGGGGAATTATAGGATTTTAATAGGGTCCTCCCATTCTCTTATGATAGTTATTAAAAATATATATTGCTACTTGCTAGCTACTACTTGCTATAAATAAATATATGCCCCCACTGAATATACTATCCTAGCTCAGCCCCTGGTAACACCACCTTTAATCTTTTAATCAGCACCTTCTAATATAACACTCTGAGTAATATATTGAACAAGCAGTAGGACTAAAATATCCTTCACACTTGCAGGATTTAAGACCAAAGTAATATCCTTCACACTCTGGACTTGGAGTCATAATTTCTTCCAAAGTAAAGTGTAAGGTACGCTACTATGCTACCATCTTTCTTTTAATTCCTGGTCCCCATAGTCTGCATTCCAATTTTGATGACTTTGCACTTCATTTCAATTTCCACAGCCCAAATTGACTGAATTAGAGCTTTAAAGCTGTACTTGGGTATCGATCAAAGGATCAAATCTTTTAACTTGCATTCTAATATCCAAACTTTTCTAAAAATATTTAGTCATCCTGCGTAGGCAGCCGTCTAAATAGTTGTGATTCACCGGGTTTTCCTCGACCGCTTTAGGTCGCTCTTCCCATCATGTAGAATAGGAGTAGTTATAATATAGAATCTATCATGTTGACAAATAAAAAAAAATTGACCAAAATAGAAATTTCTTATAAACAAAAACACGAAATAAATGCACTCAAAATAATAACGCAATATAAGGACCATGATAATAAATGAGTTAATCCGTGGCGTTGCTTTCATGAATGTGAAAAAACCTCAATAGCTAATTCTGGACTTTGTTGGCACATTTCCAACCATGAACATGGGAGTATCATTGGTCAAGTTGTAACTGGTAAGACCGCCAAACGGGTCCCCATTCCAAGAAAAGTAATATACCATGAATTAGTCAAATAAGGCTTTTTTTTAAGCCAAATAAGACTTATTCAACCAGTTTTAGGTTTATTTAGATACTATGTTATTTCAAATAATATTTCGCTTGCAGCATAAACATATTTTCTAACTCACCTTTTTATATTTCGAATCATCTTTTTATTTCACATACATTACATCAGAAAAAGTACAACAATAATTATGTCAAATAACACTCTATTCAAACAAAATGATTTTCTTTTTTTGGTAAAAACTGGTGAATTATGTAATATTTCTATGAGACATAGCATTTGTTACATCATTGATAGTGACTCTAAAGAAAAATCGACGAAATGTCATATTTTATCACAAGGGGTGGATAATTCTATGTCTCCAATATCTCTTCTAAGTTTAGTCCATGAGAAAGTAATGGATTATTCTCGGTCATTTTGCTTATGTTAATTTTTCAATTGGAAAAATTACGTGTTTTTTATTAATCTCCTATTTTCGCAACGATACAATTGAGTGTCTTCCATTCAAAATAAACTTTCTTTTATCCCAAAATCCATCTCGCATCACTTTTTTGCGTCATTTGCATGCTAATATCAAAGGACAAAAAAGGCATCACAGTTCATTCCTGCTGAATACAATTAGAAGAATCCCTTAATGAATCAAAATCATGCATGTTAACTTGATAGATGAAAACAATGAGTCAAATACTAGGAAGCAGCCACCAAGAAAACACAGGTGCACTTGCCAAAACATTTGCGCGAGTTACACGCTCAATATTTGTCTACTGCCCCTTGACCAGTACGAGTAGTCATATTTTCTTTAAGTGTAGAAACAGAATGTTCTAATTTTTATTAATCATTAAAATTATCAAATTTGTATTTGATAATTTATTTGTTTTAGTGCCATGGACCAGTCTTGAAACATACTTTAAGTTCGAGCTATTGCAGCCACCGATTTGAACATTTAAATCAGACTATTCTTTTAAGTCAATGTCTATCGATGACTATTGAGCAAGGCTTGTGGGTCTCCGTTGGTTAGGCTTTCTTTCCCCTAAATTAAATTATACAAATACTATCGTTACGATTAAAAAAAAAATGTCAATGTCTACCCCACTAAAGCGGGCCAAATTAAGTTCCGACTTTAAAGACTTTTTTTTTTTGAGCATGCAACTTTAAAGACTTAAACCTGAGTTGACTCGTTGAGGATACGCAACTAGAAGGAATACAGGATTATAAATTATCCTGCCTTCCATTTTCATAACAACACTTTCCTTCACTAATTCTCCATACTGAAATCATGCGCGGCCATTCCATTCTGATTGCCTCATGGGCTCTTGCTGTATCAATAATACTCAACAGAAGACAACTTTGCTCAGGTTGCTTTTTAGAAGAAAAACATGCTCTCTTGGACTTCAAAGCTTCCTTAAATGTGACTACAAATGCTCATCTTATCCTTTCTTCGTGGACTGGAAAAGAAGGTGACGGAGCAAATGATGATTGCTGCACCTGGGAACGGGTCAAGTGTAGTAATATTACTGGGAGAATTGTTGAACTCCACCTTAGTTATTTGCCAGAGAATATGTATGTGGATTGGACCGATAGGTATGTAAACATTAGCACTTTCATACCTCTGAAGGACCTGCGAACTCTAGACTTGAGTAATAATCTCTTCAATGGTGAAGTGACAGGTAACTATCCTACCATCTTTTTTTCAAATCATCGGTTTCTTTAGTGTTGTAGTCGTTTATATTGTATAATTTGAAGTTTCTTGTTCTTGGTATCTACTATTTTGATATTCTCACCATCTCATGAAAGAGTTATGGCACAATATTTAAGAAGATTTTTTTGAAGGTTAATATATTTAAACTTGACGTGGTACAAATGTTAGATATAGTAAGTGTAGTTAGTGATGTATTGCTTGAGAATCCCATATTGATTGCAAAGCTAGCTACAAGAAGATGAAAATTCATACATTGCAAAACTTAGTTTGTACCAATCCAATTGGAGGGATCGTTATATTCCTAATGATTAGATTTGACTTTGTTAATCTTGGAGGAAAGTGCTATTTATTTTACCCGACAGCAACATACTGGGAGCATAATTTCCTGGATTATTCGCATCAAAACCTAATTTTTACATTATGTTGTTATATAAATTTCTCCAACAACACAAGGAGGCAAACTTTTTGAGTTTTGAGATGTTAGTATGAACAATGAATGGCTTGAGTTTTGATTAAAGGGTTTAGTTCTTTGTATTAGTCAAAGTTGGTCAACCCTAGACTTCCAAGAAAGCCCCCGTCATCTTAAACTTCTTTCGTTGCTAATTCATCCTTTGAATCACCTCTCAACCAATCATCCCATTCTTCATCACTGCAAGAAAATCCTTTAATTTTCCCCAATAATAATTGAATCTTGGCCTAAACCACATACACCATGTTGAATCTTTTCTTTCTTTGTACTTTGTAATTTACTAATTTTCCAGAGTAAAATATAAAATTTAATCTTGTATATGTTTTGATTTTGCTAAAATATAAAATTTAATCTTATATCGAAAGATTGGCCAGGAATTCATCTTTCTTTTTTCGTTCAAGCCTTACTTTTGGTATTCTTGTCCGCAGCTTGAGGCAAGCTTTTCATATTTCTTCATCTTTTTTTCTCAGCCTTATTTCTTTTAATTTCTCATGTATTATAATTGTAGAAGACTCAAAATCCCGTACAAACTGACGATAGTTTAATTAAGCAGGAAACTATTTTGTATTAAATTTTAGCTGCGAGTTAGTCATTTGCGCCCTTCAAAACAACAAGAATTAATATATCATAAATTGAAAGAAGTCAAGAAAAAATAGCAATTAAAAAAATAGATCATACAGTCATAAAACATCAACCTATCGTGATGGATTAGGAGCAATAATTAAGGAATGTATACACGAGTAAATTGATGTCTCTAAGAAAAAAACAGGCAATTTATGTGGAAACAGTGAATGGATCAAGAGAAAAGACTAAGATATTGCATTACAAAGTATACTTTTTATTTTTTGAATTTGAATTACTCTCGCTTCTTACAAAGTATATTTTTACTTCCACGTTTTTTGATAGTGTGTCTTATTTATTTATCAAATAGTTTTCAATTCAATGGGTGACCGGTTACAAATTAGTACAACAATTTTACCACTTACATCAAGTTTTATGCATAGTAGTTACCCTTGCCTTCTCGTGCCTCAAAGTTGGTTTTTTTCAAATCTTCAACTAGTATGTGCTACTCACAACTCGCTACCAGCAAAACTCGAAAAAGAAACTTGCACAAATTGAAGTTTATTAGCCATTTGATGATAAAGACCCCATATCATGGACCAAAGCAGAATGTGATGAGAAAAGCAAATCTATATGCTCATTGAAGAATGTAGTTTTGGAGTGTAAGTTGCTTCGAGGACTAAAAGAGGTCTTAAAACACTGAAAAAAAGTAGCACATGCAAAGTGAAGAAGAAGAAGAAGAGGTAGATGGAGCTAGAGAGACCACACAAGTTGAAGCAGTAGTAGAAGTATATATATTAAAAGGATTGAAGGGGTTGTTTAGTTTCCTGTTTGCAGATGAAAGCTTTTTTTTTTTCCGTTTTTTGGGAGTGTTTGAAGGAGAAAATGGGAGCTAGCTGGGGACAGAGAAGAGAAGAGAAGAAGGTTGAAATGAGCAGGTGGAAGAATATAATGGGAGCAAAGAGCGGCTTCATCTGCCATCCGGCGGAAACTTAGAGGGATACTTTGAGGGGGGCTTTTTAATTCTTTTAAGATTTTTTTTTTAATTTTGTCTGGTTTTGTATGGAGAAGAAAAGTGGGGGACGAGAAAGACTAGTAAGTAGTAGATTACAACTATTTGATTTTAGTATTTTTTTGGGGGGTGAATATAAAAATCTAAAATTTACTTGGGGGTTTAAAAAAATATTAGTAAAAATAAGTGAGCAGTGACTTTTGGCTCTGCGGAGAAGAAATTTTGTCTGCGAAAGATCAAGATGGATTAGGAGCAATAATTAAGGAATGTATACATGACTAAGATTGATGTCTCTAAGAAAAAAACAGGCAATTTATGTGGAAAAAAGTGAATGGATCAAGAGCAAACATTTATATCTTTGTCACGTAGAAAGTATAAAAGTGTGAAAAATTTTAAATCTTACATCATTTTATTTAGAGTCAAATATCGAAAACCTCTTTTGGTAGAAGGAATAGATCAGCTCCCTTTGGATGACCGCTGCAAAGCTCTAATAAGTGTTTCTTTTGCCAGAAATCAATAGGGAAGAAGAAGCTTTGTTATGAAATTTAATTTTTGCGATGATGTCATTTTGGAATTATATTTGACACCAAATTTTGTCTATAATTTATTTATGACATATGGTTCAAAGGTCGATTTGATTATTTCATCATTGTTTTTTTTATTAAAAACTTTGATAGTGCTCGATTATTAAATTTAATAAAAAAAAACTAACAGTTTCACTAAAATCCAAAACCAAGCAGGTACATTGGATTAGCCAAAGGGTTTTCTTTGGTATTTAGTCCGTTTATTAGAATCTGACTCGTGCTTTGCAAAATCTCAAGTCCTTATACCTTGATTACAACAAATTCAACAACAATACAATTCCATGTATAACTGCAATTACTGAACTTAAAAGGCTGTCTCTCCGTTATTTGGGTTTAGAGGGATCGTTTCCTATAGAAGGTATATTCACTTGCTATCTATAATTCTTATATGAGACTTTCTTTAACCTTTTTACACAATTTTCTTTGACTTTGCGTCTGTTTGGCACATAGAAATAAATGAATATCTAAACTTAGAATGAATATTTATTTGTAATCTATTTCAATTAATAGCTCTTAAATGTGAACTTTATTGATGTGGAGCAAACTGCAAAGCATCTTATTTGTTTTTCCTTTTACCTTCGCAAGCATGGGATTAGAGGGTAACTTAATTTACATATCCAAAGTTTGTTTACATTTTAATAATTGGCTATGGACTTAAGAAAGAAAAAAAAGGGCAAATTATATTTTACATTTTATATTTTACATATTTTACATTTTTTGTACATAACCTCTTTATGGTTTCAAAAACTATATATAACCCCCTCATGGTTTAGAATAAAGTGTCAAAGTGACGGAAATGATCATTCGTAATGGAACCTTTAAAAATGTCAAAATTACACTTGTTTAAAAATTAAAATGGTTGAAGTGATCAAAATATATAAACATAATATACATGATGCACTAACCCCATATGATTTTATATTTTATCATATAACCCCCCCTTATGGTTTAATATTTTACCATATAACCCCCTTATGATTTTTAAAATATACACATAACCCCCATTGTGGTTAATAAATAATTTTCAACTTTACATAAATGTATTTTTTACATTTTAGGTGATTTCGTTATGAATTGCAGATACCATTACTTTGACACTTTAATCTAAAACATGAGAGAATTGTGTATAGTTTTTAAAATTATAAAGAGATTATGTACAAAACACTAAATTACAGGGGAATAAAGTGTAATTTGCCCAAAACAAATCGCCTGTAGACTAACATGTGAGCAGTTGTTTGAAAGATGCTAATTAGTTAATCTTTTTTTTTTTTTTTTTGTAGTTGTGAGAGATGTTGCATATGCCAAAATTATAGAGCATAGATATACAGAAAAGATAAAATTGTAGAATCCATTAGCATGAGAGTTGTTGGACCGCAATCTGCCCATTCAAGGAGTTCTAATTGGATCATCTTCTTGCTGCAGATTTCAAGCGTCTGTAAAAATTGGAGTTTCTTGACTTGAGCCATAATCAATTTTCTGGTTCCTTGTCCTTTAAAGGTACGCATATCCAATTTGAGATAAAGGTGTATATAGTTGAACTGGGATACGTTATTCTTTTTTACAAAAAATAAAAATAAAAATTACGGTCCTAGAATAAGCTAGATGCGAAATAATTTTCTTTGGATGCTGCCACATGATTTGGAGTATAACCATTATTTTCTCTTTCTATTTCAAGATTATAAGGATAGGACAGAACTATTTGTATACTTTTCCCTATTTCTATAATTTGATGTTATATTATGTCCAAATTCCAATAAGAAAATAAATTCCTAAAAATTAACAAAATTTGCCTAAATTTCTAGATTAGCTGTACATTAGAATTATCCATTCGTTTTAGGTGGTTTAATTAACTTTCAATTGCAAAATGGAACACGAATAAAATGTGGGAGTTCTATTTGTGACTCTAGAAGGATCAGTAATTTAATTTTTCTTTTCATTTTAATTTAGAAATCCATTCACTAACTACCAAAGAAAAATCAAGTACATTTTTGTCGTATTCTGATCTTATGTTAAATATCAATACTTAATATTATAAGTGAATTTGGCTATTTGGTTTATGAAGTTACAGATCTAGTAATGAATTCAAAATGTTAATTTTCAGGATAAAGTGAATCACCAATCACCAAACCTTTCTAAAATCTAATTTAGCTTACTGTAGCGTTTCCTATGTCAACTGAACTGCTAAACTCCTAAAAATAATTAATGGGATAATTTCACAAACCTCCCCTATGGTTTTTAACAATTTCAGAGAACTCCCCTCAAGTTTTAACAATTATACATACCTCCCTTACTTGTACTATTTATGTCACAATGTAGGTCCAACAAGCTAGATTTTCTCATAAAAATCCTAAATTGCCCTTTTGTACAAAATTAAGGAAGAAAAATATAGTATACTCAATTATTTTCTTCCACATTTTGCACAAATCAACAAGTCTAATTCCTAACAACCATCCAAGCATAAGTTTCAAATTCAAGTAGCCATCTAAAAAATTTCGAATTGCAAATATAGCGTTAATAGTTGCCATGCAAAAAAAGAACCACACACACATACACAACCCCTTATTGACAACCAATTTTATACCCAAAAATTAAATCTCAATATTCAAATACCTTTTCAATAGAAGTTAATATATCCTAGAACTATCATTACAACCCTCCTATGGCCTTAATATTTCAAAAGTAGATAACATTTATAATCCAATGAAAGAAATCCTTATGTAATTATTAACATTTTGTAAAAGTTTTTCTTGAAAACAAACAAAATATAACAAATTTCACATCTTTATTTCTTATTTCTATTTCAATCATCAATTTCATTATTTATCTCTCTATCACTACGAACCTCTTTATTTCCTTTTAGTTTGACACACAATCTGTTCCTTCTGTTGATTTTGTAATTTCAATTTGCTAATACCCACGAAAATAAAAATAATAAAAAGGGGGTGTACCAGTATATTAACTAGCAAAGAGAGAAACAAAAATAGATGAGAGATAGAAAAATAGACTTTTTTTGGGTTTTGTAAATCTATTGCCTTAAATTTATAATTGTCTACCAAGTAGAGGGCATTATAGGTATTTTACTATGTCAAGGGAGGTAAGTGTAATTTCTTAAACCTAAGGGGAGCCAAATGAAATTTTTAGAAACCTTAAGGGAGTTTTTGAAATTATCCCATAATTAATTGGTCGTTCTATTTATTTTTTTTCAATTAAAAAGAGACAAAATTTACGGCATGTGAATTGCACGTTACATTTGGAACATTTTCATCACTACATATATGAAAATAGTAAATTGGACTAAATGAGAATTTAGAAAAGCTTATTGATTGTTGACATGCTTTATTAGAAAACATTTTGGAAATTAAATGAAAAATAAAAAAACTATATCAGCAAAACATTATGACACAGGTGGTCCTTGCACTCCTAAATCTTTTCAGAAATAATAGAAGTACTTTAGTAAGAAAATAACTTGATTTATTAAATAATAGAGAAATAAAATTTACAAAAAAAATGTCACTGCAAATTTTTAAGAAAATATTATATTGGCCAACACGTAAAGAAGAATATAATGCAGAATTTCTTCGAAAAGAAAGAAATTTAGCATTTCCTTTCTAAAAAGAAATATTTCCCTTTTATTCTTCTTTCCTTACTCATCAACACAATATATCCTTCAACCTGGCGTCCTTATACCTCGATTGGAATAGCTTCAACAATGGGTTTTTTTTTTTTTACCTCCTACACCTTCCTTATTTTCTTTCACTCCCAACTGCCAGATCCAAAATTCAAACCTTAAATTTGGTAGCTAAGAGAGGTCTAAAATTCCTCTCCTAACCACTAAGCCAACTCAATTACTCAACAGGATAATTCCATGCATAACTCAATTACAAAACTTAGAGGCGTGGTTTCCTTTAGAAGGTATATTCACTTACTATCCCTAATTATTATATGAGACTTTCTATGACCTTGCGTAATTTTCTTTGACTTTCTGCTTGTCTATTTTATCTTTCCGCTTCATTGTTTTAGGTCTTGTTTAGCACATAGAAATAAATGAATATCTATAGTTAGAATGACTTAGCATTATTTATTTGTACTCTATTTCAATTAAAAGCTCTTAAATGTGAACTTTAATTGTAAAGCGCCTTATTCTTTTCCATTTTTCCTTCACAAATATGGGATTAGAGGGGCGACTTAATTTACTGATTCAAAGTTGTTTACATGCATTTTAATAACTATCTGTGGACTAACATGCGAGCAGTAGTCTGAAAGATGGTAATTAGTTGATTTCATTTTTAATGTGGGGATATACCAAAATTATAAAGTATCGATATACCAGAAAAGATAAAAATGTTCATCTATAGGCATTAGAGTTGTGGCGGCGCAATCTGCCCATTCTAAGAGTTCCTGGATCATCTTGTTGCTGCACAATTCAATTGTCGGAAAAAATTGGAGCTTCTTAACGTATATGATGCTGGATTTTCTGGTTCCTTAACCTGATAAAGTTATACATGGTTTACCTAGACTAAGTTAGAATCGACATTATTTTCTTTGGATCCTATCACATGATTTGAAGTATTAACTGTCATTTTCTCTTTCCATTTCAAGATTATAAGGATTTTTTTTAATATAAGTGAAAGGACTCGAATCTGATATCTTTCACTTACACTCCACCACCCAACCCATCCACCCCCAAGTTTATAAGGATAGAATGGAAATATCTGTACAACTAATTTGATGTTAAAATATGTCCAAATTCCAAAATAAATTCACAAAATTAACAAAATCTGCTTTAGGTTAGCTGTATCTTAGAAATACTCCATTCGTTTTAGTAGGTTTGATTAACTTTCGATTGAAAAGTGGAACATAAATAAAAGGTGGGAGAATTATTTGTAAATCTAAAAGGATTAGTTATGTAAATTTTTCTTTTGCGTTTAATTCAGAAATCCATTGACTAACAATCAGAGAAATTCAAGTACCTTTTATTTGTATCTGGTGTTTGGTAAAAGAACTTAAGTACAATGTATACTTAAGTATTTTGTACTGCCTCTTTTTTTTGTAGTTTTTCTTACTTCATTTTTCAAAATGCAAATCATTCTTGTTAAAACACTTCTGTTAAAAGAACTAGAAATGCAAGGACTAGTTTGTGTTTTAATTTTTCTCTGAAAGATTTTTGTTATTATTCTTTGGTTTCAAAAAATTTTTCCAGAGTCTCATTTAGCTGGTGTTTGGTAATTCCACTAAGTATTTAAAAATGATGTATTAAGTGCTTTTACTATAAAAAAAATACTCTCTCTCTCTCTCTCTCTCTCTTAGATACACACATGTAAAAAGTTAATATAATACAAAAGTAAAACGTAATATTACTATTCAATTATATAATTAAGGGCAAAATAAAATATTTTAATTCAGTGCTCGAATTTAGCTGGTTATCATACATATTTGACTTTATGAATTCATTAAATTTAGGCTTCAATTAAGTTTCAGTTTTCTGTTTTCAGTTTTATCAAACATCCCCTTAGTCTACTATAAAACTTTTTACTAACAAATGACAAAGACACCCCGGCCTAGTGTGCAGCTCACATGCAATGAATTTCGTCTATTTTAATCGAGCAAATGGATAGAATAGCCCAGTTTGATCCTTTTTGGCTCTTCAATGGATCAATTGACGTGAAAAAAATAGTATAGTGGATTAAATAAGACTTTGAAAATATTGTCGACCTGTGACATAATTTACCTTGTTTGAAATATACAAATTCTTATAGAATAGGGGATGGAGATGCAACAATAGTTATGTAATTTTGATATATCCAAAACTATAATACTAACATAAAGTTTTGAACTGCAGAATTGAAGCTGGAGAACTTGAAGCTACTCAATCTTGCATATACAAAATTTAACAAACTCTCAGACATTGAGGCTTTAACTTCTGTCAAAGCCTTATCTTTGAGCCTTATCTTTGAGCCTTATCTTTGAGCAGTATTGGTTTAATTATTGGTTTCTGAATTGGCTATATATTGACAATTCATACCTCGCATCAACTATTACTGTACGAAAAGCTTATAATGAACTTGTTTTTTGGACAGGAATTTGCAGTTTGAAGAATCTCCATGAACTTGACGTGAGTCACAATAATTTTTACGGGCCTACTCCTATGTGCTTCAGAAACTTGACGTCTCTTCGAGTTCTTGATCTCTCCAACAATATTCTCAGAGGAAACATCCCTGCAGCTCTCATTACTCCTCTCGTACACCTTGAGTATCTATCTCTCTCTGGCAACCTTTTTGGAGGTTCTTTTTCTTTCAATTCTTTGGGCAACCATTCAAAGCTTCAGGGGTTCGAACTTGGACCTTTGAACAATGATTCACATGTCGACACTGAGGATCTTGCTCTGCTCCCACCATTTCAGCTAAAGGTTCTCTATTTATCTGGCTGCAACTTGAATAATCGGACTCGAAAAATCCCAAGTTTCCTGCTCTATCAGAAAGAAATGCAAATTCTTGATCTGTCTTCCAATAAGTTAGTCGGCCAGATTCCTACTTGGCTTCTGCAAAATAATGCAAACTTAGAAGCTCTTGTTCTAAAGGATAACTCTTTTACGGGTCCGTTTCTTGTAGATGATTCTCTGGGAATAAATCTAATTCAATTAGGCATCTCAAACAATGACGTCAGTGGTAAGGTTCCTCAAAATATCGGTTTATCTTTTCCAGCTGTGTGGTACTTGAATTTGTCACGAAATTCATTTGAAGCCAATATTTCCCACTCATTGGGAAACTTGACAATGGCAGAAACAATTGATTTGTCCCACAACATGTTTTCAGGGGAGGTGCCAAGTCAAATTGGAACTGGATGTTTACGTCTTAGAATATTGGTATTGTCTTACAATAATTTGCATGGCAATTTTCCTTCTGGGTCCACGAACTTAACAAGCCTAGAATTCCTTCACTTGGATAATAACCATTTTATTGGGAGCATTTCACATGGATTATCTCGTTCTCCAAGTTTAACTTGGCTGGATATTTCAAACAACTCTTTTCAAGGCAAAATTCCAAGTTGGATTGGAAATTTTTCATCATTGGAGGCTCTTGACATGTCAGCCAACTTGCTAGAAGGTAGCTTACCAGATGCTATATGCAAACTTTCACATCTTGAATTTTTAGACCTCTCCAAAAATCAGTTGATCGGACCTTTGCCAGCTTGCTCCGAGCTTACGTCATTGATGTTCATCCACCTGCATCACAACATGATCTCAGGGCCCATCTCAAACATGCTGTCTGGAAGCTTCAATTTGATGACACTCGATTTGGGTTACAACAAGCTGTCTGGCGGTATACCACGCTATATTGGTAAGCTTAAAGAGCTCAGGGTTCTTCTATTGGGGGGAAATGAATTGCACGGTCATATTCCTTTGCACTTATGTCAGCTGCAGAATGTGACAATTATGGATCTTTCTCAGAATAAGTTTTCTGGGCCACTACCTACATGCTTCAACAAAATTTCTTTTGGCAGCGGGCAGTTCTCCAAAGATGCATTCACAATAAACCTTCATTTTTCGGCTGTGGAGATAATCTGGAGTGAGCATTATATGACTACTTTTTCCGAACAAGAAAAAGTGATATTCACAACAAAAAATAGAAGCGAACACTATGCAGGGAATATATTGAATTTCATGTCTGGACTTGATCTGTCATGTAACCAATTGATTGGAGCGATTCCTCCTGAATTTGGTGATCTCAGACGTATCCGGGCATTAAATTTATCCCACAACTACTTGCAAGGATCTATTCCCTCAAGACTTTCAATGTTGAACCAAATAGAGAGCTTGGATCTTTCTTACAACGATTTGAGTGGTGAAATACCTTCAGAGCTGGCATCATTGAACTTCTTGTCCATCTTCAATGTGTCATACAATAACTTGTCTGGCAGGGTACCTGATACAGGGGAGTTTGCAAACTTTGACGACAGCAATTATAGAGGAAATCCAGGTCTCTGTGGACCATTGCTCAAGAGAAGTTGTAACCCCTTTGCTCCACACCCTGAAAATGTTGGTGATGAAGACTTAGAAGTTGATGGTGCAATTGATGTGGCAGCATTCGCTTGGAGCTTTTTTGCTTCATATATGGTGATCGTGATTTCATTAGTGGTAATTCTTTGTATTAGCCCTTATTATAGAAGAGCATGGTCTTTTTACATTGATTATTGGATTCTATCGAGATTCTTCGAGTATTGCAGGTCTTGTTCTTCAGAGAAAAAGCAAACATGGAAAGTGTTCAATTGGAACATGAGAAGGAGATGAATTGGTCCTAATTACTCTATTGGGATTCTTGAATTTGGAAAAAGGTCCAATGTATCTGCAAGTATTGAAAAAGGAACTATACGAGCTGAAATTTCAATCATATTCTTGCTCTTATAAAGATTGAAAATATTAGTGCCATAGAACACAATTAGTTGCTTTTGCTGCCAAAATGGGTTCATGTGCATAACCAGAAACAATAATAAACTGAATTATTGATTGTGTGTTTGTTAGTTTCAGCATTCCTTTCTGTTTGTCGAAATTAATTTTTATTTTCCAATAGAGTTAATCTTGGGGAAGGGAGTAGAGCAATGAAAATGAAAATGAAAAACTTAGAATATATTTTGGGGAAGGGAGACCATCAACAATATATTTTGCACTGTAGTTTTTTTTCTCATATTTGCGGTTTAATTTTCTTTATTTGCACAATTACTATTTCGTTTCTGAATAGCCATAATTTTTTTAGATTATTTCTCCAGCGTAACTAATTTATACAAGTTACTTTTAGATATTACGATAATAAATATCTCCAGCTTAAAAATAGAACCTTGTAATTTTACTCATTAGAATTACCAAATGTGATATTTGAAAATTTTTTTTTGTCACCAGGTATTGCCTTGAATACAGACTTTTAAGGGCTAATTCCTTCGTTTATTGCTTAAAAAAAATCGTGCATGTGTTGGTCTGACAGAGAGAATGTATTGTACTACACCTATCTGGCTTAATCAGGCTACGAATTTTTATTTTAATTGCTGAACTGCTAGGCTGAGTCAGCCCAGCAGCCAGCTGGATTTTAAAAAAAATAAAAAAAAACTGATGGCTACGGGAAAACAAATGTCAGCGGTCACTCAACTTTTACGTTTTTTCCATCCGTATGAGTAGCATATGGGAAGGAAATCTTTCATTTTGCAACCTAGAATTGTAACAAAAATATTTGTAAAGGAAGAATTCATGTTTGCTCATTTTAGGAATATCATAGACAATAAGGCTGCTTTAAATCGTTTGATATCAATGTTGAAAAATACTCCCAAGTCAGCATCATTTTTTTTTGTGGCTATCACCTGGCAAAGCTTTTTTTTTTATTATCTTTTTTTGGAAATGATATCTTTGTTTTTTTCTTTTTTCTTTTGGCAATTTTTAAGATTTTTCAAGTCTTCATTTATCAGCTATTTGCAGGCATTTTGTGATCCATGGATGGAGATCAATAATCACGCAATGTTCTAAGGTTAATGTTTAAGCAGAAACATTTGATTGAGATGGTAATTTTTGTTTTTCTGCTTGAATGATATTTGCTACGCATTCCTAAAGAATAGACTAATTAATTTTTGCTCAATTGGATCGATTAGCAAGGTTGACTAGTCATTTTTTTTAATAATTGACTGCTGACATTTTTTTTTTTTTTTTTTTTTTTTTGCTTTTGATGATGACTCCCAGGCAGTTTTCTGTTTGAAAAAAATCCAGCTGGCTGCTGGGCTGAAAAAAATATATTTCGTAGCCTGTCGGCTTGTTGTTCAATACATTCTCTCTCTCTCAGATCAATGCTTGCATGATTTTTTTTTTTTTTGAGTAATAAACGAAGGAATTAGCCTACTTTAAGTCCGAGCTATTAAAGTTACTGATTTGAGCCTTTAAACCAGACTCATTGCTCTAATAAGAGATGCATGTGGATTTAGAGAGAAAGCAAAGTTATTAGCTAATCAAATTACATTTAAGTTAGAACTGTAGGTTGTAAAGTTATTGTAATTGAAGACCTTTAATTTCTAATAAAAAGGTTAATTAATCAAATGTAATCAATTGCCACCAACTCCAAAAAAGCCGTTACCAAATTTCTCTCTTGTACCATATGCATTTAATTAAAAAATTGACTATTTTTTAAAATACTACAACAATCCCCCACTTATTTTAATAAAATAACATAGTATACTACAATATGGCAAGAAAGAGCTACTATACATAATATGGTTAGCAATGCCTTGAACTTATATTGAATGTTATAGTAATTTCCAATACTAGAACCGAGAGTGACTTTTAGTCTTGAACTATGGCTGCTTTTGGGATATTGGATATTATCTTACATACACAATAGTCCAAGTGTTGTCATAAGCTTTCAAAACTAGCATTTTACGGCCTGGGTTTAATCCCGATTTTTCATGAATGTATAAGAGAACAAGTTCCAATTCCCTTTATGGCGACCCCACTGTTGCACTCATATAGGTGAAATTCATCAAGGATACCCCCGTGTAACTCAAACACACCACTTATCAGAGTTATAGATTCATTAAAAGCAATATAGCTCAACCTTTCTTTTGTTATGGGATGCATACAAATACACCATAAGGATGGATCATAATTATCAAAAGTTGTGCATACCTATTTTCAAATCACCATGTAATTCATTTTTTCCTTTGAACCTAACTCCTCAGGTTTCCAATCATTAGGTTGGGTATCCTTCTATGTGATTTATGATTTATGAACTTTAGTTACATCCCTCTCATAGATCTTTGCTCAAGCTTGAGTTACTTACTATCATCACAAAAATATAAAAACAAAGTGATAGAGTGCAAAATTGTTATTCAATTTATAATTATTTCCCCTTGATTTTAGCCAAATATTATTTTAATTACTAAATTCTACTTATATTTAGTTAATTGTGCTAATTGTAGGGAATTATGTGAGACATGAATAAAAGAAGTAATTTTTCAGTATTCTAAGAGTTACTTTGATGGTGACACATTTGGGGCCGATTTCCAAGTCCGAATCGAATTCAAGGCAAATTTTGAAGGAAGATTTTGAAGACTTTAATTTTCATTATTAGTCTTAGTATTGAATTAGAAAACTTGAAATATTATCTTTAGAAGTTTCCTTTTTCTATTTTGGGGAATATATCTTATTATTAGTCGTTGAGGTTAAGTAGAAAACAAGAGAAATTAGAAAAGTCAGATTCCCGTTTGATTAGGAGTTGGCCAGCAACAATTTCTCGGGAGGACTCTTTGAAGTATTAGACACGGCCATCACTTGTTTCATTATTCTTCTTATCTTTCGTTAGTTTTAGGGCAAAAACCATATGCAATTGTTATCAATGGAGTCCAGTGGATTTCCCTCGATGAAGCGTAGCTAAATCCTTTTTCTAGCGGAGGAGTAACACGGATTTGGTTCATCCACATCTATGAGATCTAATTATTTTTATCAATTTCTTTTATTCATTAGTATTCGTATATCTTCTAGCTTAATTTATTATGATTATTTTGTTATTTGAATATCAGGACCCGATATTTAATTCAACTTGATAATCTATTGTCAATTAGGATAGTTGAATTCGTAATTGTTTAATTGTCCCAAATAAGTGATGACTAACGTGATTGGGGCCACGTTAGGGAGATGTACGATCTAATTTAAATAAATTCTGGTAGTGTGTTTATTGATTAGAATAGGATTATTCTAGTTTTTAATGCAAGTAAGAAATTAAATTTTACAAGCATACTTAGGGTTGCTTCTTGGTTAGAGAAGTAGTTAACGAGCGTACCTTAACTATCGAGACATTAAGGAAAAGTTGGTTGTTTATCGTTTGTATGACAACTATAACCCGTCTATTAGTGAATAATTGAGAAAATTCTTGCATCGATGATCAGTTGTACGAACCACTTTCGGAGTTAATTCCTTGACAAGAGTTTGTTAATCCATGGTTTAATTTAATATACTCTTGTTTAATTAGTTTTATTTTCATTAAGTGCTTTATTCTAATTTTAAATCTCCCAGAACCCCCCCCCCCTTAATTGACTCTGTTTGAAAAGAAATAAGTTTCCTCCCAATCCCTGCAGAGACGATCCTATTTGTCATTGTACTCGTTTACATCTTTTAGAGTAGGAATTTATTATTACACGGTGTGACGCCTATCAATTTTTGGCACCATTGTCAGGGACTGGTGTCTGATTAATTTGTTTCTTTTTGAATTCATCTTATTTTCATTTTTATTTTTTCTCTTTTTTTTACAAGTTTATGGCTGCTAACACTCAATATTTTGGTAATGGACTAGATTTTATTCCTAAGAGAGCTAATAAGGCTTGTGTTTTTTTTTTTTTTTCTGATGATCAACATTTAGATTCACTGAACTCTCTTATAGAAAAAATGGCTGTTGCAACATGTGAAATTTGTTATGCCACGGCTCATTCAACCGATATGTGCCTCGCATTTCAAGATTAGCTTAATGTCTCAATCAATTAATTTGGAGATTTTTCACTTCGATTTCAAATGTGGTATGACCCTTATTAAAACAAGTATGATCAAGGATGGTAGAATAATGTCAGCTTGAATTATGCAAAAGGGTCAATAGGTCTTCAACATCAATATCAACAGTAACAACCATCAGCCATGTCAGATATGTCTCTTCAAAAAATGATGGAATTAGTAACTGCTAACACATATCGACTTCAACAGGAAACACAAATGATGATTAAAAGGATGGAGGATGGAATGCGTGAATTGGCATAATAAGCCAATTGATCTCTCCAATTTGTGAAGAATTGCCCTCATAGACCATCATCGACCTTAAGGAAGATGAGAGTACAATTATCTTGACAAGTGACATGGAACTGCAAGAGTCTCGAGAAGAAGGACCTAAAGATGCAGTTGAAGTACAAAAAACAAGATCCCAACATCAAATTATTCAAGTAAATGAATCCAGTGTACAATCTCTAAATATGGTAACATCCATTCTATTCCCTAACCAACATTCTCCTAACTCTTATTCTATAATTTCTATTAGTGAAATTGATTTTGTTATATAGGAAGATTTTGAGTTTCATGGCAGAAATAAATTAGGAGTTGCCATGGTCAAATATTTGGAACCAGTAAGTGCTCATGATGAAGGAGTTTGTGAAGAATTAAGATCATTACTTGTTTGTTTGGCGCCATCTACTAGTCCATGGAAGACTATAGCTCATGTGTTCAAAGATTACTCTATTTACAAGAGTTACCAAAATTACATAGAGGATGAAGCATTGAAACGAGTTACAAA